GTTTTAACCTAAGCTGGTAAAAATAAGCTTTGGGGGTTTTCATGCAGGTCCCCACATTTGTACCCTAGAGTTCAGAGTGCGGAAGGAACCTTGACAGGGTATCAGTAGAATTTTTTTTTGTAGTGACCACTGTCTGTGTTACTAACTGGATACGATAAGTTTTAGCTTTGAGACTGCTAGATAGATCACAGTAACTTTCGATAGTGTCAGAAACCCCCCCAACTCTATACCATTGTGGATAAATTGTATTTTTGAAATACCTGCACTGGTAGAAAATGGCCTTACCTGAAAAATCTCAGAAGGGTTCAGAATAGGGGATGGTACCATGGAGTCAGCTGAGCCCCACATCTGCATGGAAGTTGGAAGATTTGTGAGTGGCGTATCCTTTCCATGCATAAATTTGAGACAAAGGAGGGCCACATTCACCCAGTGTCAAGATACATTAAGTGGAGGGAGGAAGAGGGGGCTGTCAGGGTGCCTGTTACAGCTTCCTGATTCTCAAACTGCCCTGGCCCTGACAAAAATTATAGCAGTCTAGGGGCTGCTTTAAGTCACGCCAGATGGCTATGGTGCTGGTTGGAACTGGTATGCCATCTGAAATTTGCCTTAGGGGAGCAAAGTGGAGCTTCCCATCTCTGATCCTGTCACATTCCTTCCCCCTACATGCCCCTTAGTGATGACATTCTTTATTAATGAGAAAAGAAAGAGGGAATGTTGAACTGGCCAGGTGATGGCCCCTTTGTGCTGCTGGGTTAGTACAAAGAGAATGGAATTGAGGCTGAGAATTTGGCCCTAGGGGGTTGATGAGCTCCCATTAATTTTGTTCAGCAAGGTCTAGAGCCTGTCTCTTTACTTTTAAAATTACAGGACATGGGCCTGATCCTATTCCCACTGAAAGAAATTTAATGCTTTTTTTGACCGGGCCCTGCCTCCTTCTATGTTTAGAAACTGCCTAGCACATTGTGGCCACTACCAGGCTAGATCATCTATATCTATTTTTTAATAGGAATTTGGCTATTGACTACAATGGGAGCAGAATCAGGCCCTATGGACAGCTGATGAGGTGCAATAGATTTTGGATGCAAAAGGATAACTAAATGAGGGTTTAGATTTATCAGCTGGGATAGTTCACAGAAAATACAATGCTGTTTCTCTAAAGCAGTGGTGGGCAACCTGTGGCCCGCGGTCTGCATGCGGCCAATCAGGATAATCCACTGGTGGGCTGCGAGACAGTGTTTACATTGACTGTCCACAGGCATGGCTCCCCGCAGCTCCCATTGGCTGGGAACGCTGAACCACAGCCACTGGGAGCTGCGGGCGGCCATGCCTGTGGATGGTTAATGTAAACGCTATCTCATGGCCCACCAGCGGATTACCCTGACGGGCTGCATGCGGCCTACAGGCAGCAGGTTGCCCACCACTGCTCTAAAGAGTGTGCTTGCACACTCACACACACACACACACACAAAACCTATTAAGGAGTGTCATAACCTATATGACTAGATTGGTGAGGAAATTGAAGTTGAAAATAAATGTTGCTTGAAATGATGCATTTGAAAAATGAATGTGTCTGCAGCTGAGATGTATAAAAACAGGATATGATTTATGAAGATTTTGTGATCTGGTATTAAACAAGGTGAATTAGAAATAGTGTTGCACCTTGTAGATATAGATACTGTCATATCATGATTCATGAGCAGGGATCCGAGAGTAGATAAAGGGTGTTATTTGCATTGATTGCAAATTCTTACTTCACTGGGCTCTAAATCTTCAAAATAAATTGAGAGTAGTTGATAATATTGTTTAGTAAATTGCTGAGAAGTGATTAAAAGCAATAAACCAAAATGTTATGAACAGAAAAGAAAATGAGCTTGTGAAAAAGATTTTAAATGATATATAATTGCATGAAAATAAAAATGCTGTATCCACAGCTCAGTACTCCTGCTCTATTTTCTTAGTGGTTGACAGGTAATTTTAGCTTAATTTTAAAGGACCTTTAGAAATAAAATGAATTTTAAAGATTCAGTGTTCAGTCTCAGCAGAATTTAAGTGTAAACTCTTTGGTAAACATACCTTCCAGTTCCAGCTTTCTTTTTTCGGACCAATCTTTGTAACAGGCAAAACTTTTGATATAGAGTATAATTATGGTTAATTATTACTTGTATAAGGCCAGCGTCATGCTAGGTGCTTTACAAATGGACAAAAAGAGAAGGAATGGCCCTGAACAGCTTGCCATGTAGGAAGACAGCATACAAATGAAGGCTGAGCTCAGGTTGCAAGGAGTGAAGTGGAGCAGCTATTGTGTTAGTGCCACAGGATCTGTTTGATTGTGTTGTTTTTGGTTTTAATATTTTATGCTTTGTATTGATGGCTTTCATTTGTCTGCTAGTTAAATCTGATTTCTTCAGTCTAGAAGTGCCATGGGAGGAACTAGGGCTTTTAGAGGGGGTTGAATATTCAGTTGACAGAAATGAACGATTGTGGAGGTGGAATCAAGAAGATGCATACAAAGGAAGGGAAGGTCTTTTTGGTACCCGTAACCTTCATCCAGTTGTTACCAACTGTATCAAGTCTACAAGTATTTACTAAACTGTATCCCTTAAGTATTCTGGGGAGCAATTTCAGTGAATCCACTGTGGGTTGTGATTTAAACAGAGTGAATGATGGAGATGAGCAAACCATGGCAAACAGTGTAGATTCAGGTTTCAGAGCAGCAGCCGTGTTAGTCTGTCTTTGCAAAAAGAAAAGGAGTACTTGTGGCACCTTAGAGACTAACCATTTTATTTGAGCATAAGCTTTCGTGAGCTACAGCTTCTTTTCCAAGTTTCTGATTTAGGGCCAAAGCCAAAGGGAATATTTGCATGATCAAGTGAGCAGGATTTAGCCCTTAATAAGAGTGATTCTGGATAGTGAAAGGAATGAGATTTCTTTTAAAGACAAAACGCTGCAATTCAGTGCTTGTTCCTGTAATGCATCCCTGCAACAACATATTGCCTGTTGTTGATTTCTATTTGATAAAGATCACTCTTTTGGCAATGAGGAATCCCCAGAGTGACCATTTTTCTGGAACTGTAGATATCCTTAGGAGTATTGTTAGGGCTTCTAAACAAACAGATGTGGAATTTCTAAATCTGTAGTTATTTGAATACTGGTGGTTTATTTTCTGTCAGGGATTTGGACAGTCCCATAGCATACATAACAGAGTGCCCCTATCTGAGTTAAACAATGCTAACATTTGCTTTGGAAAGCCCAGCTGTGTGCCTTTCAACTAGAGTGTGCTGTTTCAAACATAGGACCAACTCCTGCTTGCCTTACTCGGACTTGGTCTATGCTACAAAGTTAGGTTGACATAAGCCACCTTGCATCGACCTAGCTGGGTATGAATGTACATTGGGATTTGTCTCCCACCGATGTAAGTGCCATGTTACAGCAACGTAGTGATACCACCTCCTTGAGTAGAGTTGAGCCATGGTAGATGTACTGAGGTTGATGCAGCGCAAGGGTAGTCACTGTATTGCTTATGTTGACCCTAACTGTCCCACCGTACTCCATATTGACTGCTCTGGTCACATTGTGAACTCTACTGCCCAGGGGTCATGGAGAAAGGAAGGCTCCCTTCCCTTTTAAAGCCCTACAGATTTTTGAAATGCCTTTTCCCGATTGTCCTAGCAGCTCACCTAGTACACCTAGCAACACTCCATTGTTGTGTGTAACTGGCTAACTGACCATACTGGCTACATGCTCCAGATGTGCTCGCGCTTGGAGTAGACAGGAGATACTGGATCTCCTGGGCTTGTGGGGAGAAGAGGCTTGCACAGATGTCCATATTTCTATGAGAAGATTGCCCAGGGGATGCAGGAGAAGGAATATGACAGAGATCAGCAGCAGTGGAACATGAAAAGAAAGGAACTGTGTCAGGCATATCAGAAGGCCAGGGAGGTCAACAGTCTATCTGGTGCCAAGTTGCAGACTTGCCACTTTCACAAGGAGCTTCATAACATATTTTGTGGAGACCCCACCACCACCCTGCAGACCACCATGGATTCCTCCGAGGAGCTTGAGCAACAGACCCCTGGCCTGAACAGTGAGGATGAGGATGAGATGGAGGAGGATGATGGGGGACATGTGATCGGGGGAGGGGGTGGGGTCCCGCTATGTTACAATCCAGGACCTGTTTGAGAATCCACCGCACTCCAGCTAGTCCCGGCAGTTGAGCACAGGCAAGGCTGATGCAGGGGAAGGAATCTAGGGTAAGTGTGCTACTGTATTTCCCATTGCATTGATGTACTAATGGCAACCCCAACTTTGCTGGACACAGCTATCAACTTTTCATTAAATTTACATGTACTGGAAAAGGTAGTGGTACAACAAAGAGAGGGGTTAATTGCTTTTAATTCCCCTCTGGAGTTAGGCAGGGTGCCACGCAGAGCTGTTTCTTTATGTACACAGGGATGCCCCTTGAATCCTCCTGAGAGATCTCAATTAAACTTTTATGGAGGTACTCTGCAATCCTCTCCCAAAGTCTTCTAGTGATGGCTGCCTTATTTCTTCCTCTGCGGTACAACATTTCCCCACACCAGTTAGAGATAACTTTGGCAGGCACCATTGCATTACACAAGCTAGCAGCATACAGGTCCGGGTGGCTTTGGGACACCAGCAGCAGCTGTGCTTTCCGTGACTTTGTTACACACAAAAGTGAGAGATCAGCTAAAATCACCGCTGCCTGTGGACAATGGTGCCAGTACTCAATGCCACTGCCCTATACTTATAGTTCCATGCAACCGAGCAATTCCCCCCTCATTTCCCATGCTCTAGCAGGCCATACTCACCAGGGCTGGTGCTGTGAGTGGTGCCATACGCAAGCACTCCCAAGTAGAAGTGTCAATAGACATGTCTTGTTTAAAACTTTGGGGGAGCAAGGGAAGGGAGTTCCGAATCTTAACTCTTGCTCTCCGTTGTGACTGTACGGACAATGGTACTTCTGTGTGTTTTATCTGCAGCTGCTGCCATGGCAGCACTAAGGGGTCACCCCTCGACAGCTACAGAACATCTGCACCAGACGAGGAGGAGAAAGAAGAGGACTTGGGATGGCATATTCATTGAGATCCTGCAAGCCAGTGCTGCATCAGACCTAGAGCAAAAGGCCTGGATGGTGACTATTGCAGACATCCTGGAGAAGGAAAGAGAAGACTGGAGAAAGGCCCCTGAGTCCCAGAAGTCAAAGAAGAGGAAGATGCACAAGGACATAATGGGCTTCTCCAGCAGCAAACACAGACTCTTATGGACCTACAGATTTAACAATCACAGACTGTCCGCCCTTTGCAGTCCATTACAGCAACTTCTACGCCTCCCCCCCCTCAACATTCCACATGGCATCAGGGGCCTCATCCCTACCTACTACTCCACTCTGGGGGACATTAGAGACAACCACAGCTTCACATACACTGACCTGTGAAAGCCACAGTTGCTGAATGTGTAGGTAAAATGGACATAAATGTTCTTTCCCCTTCATAAGTTCTGCTCCATTAATTTATTAAGTTTTTAATGTATGTGCTTTTAAATTGCACAGATTTTTCTTTGCACTGGTTTTGTTACTGACTACTATTCTATTATTTGGAAAATAATTCATCTTTATTAGTTCACAACATATGCTGCAGAGTGCCTAGCAGCTTTGAAGGCACCCACTTATTTGTTACTGTTCAGTGTGACAACTCACAGGATCAGTGACAAACACAGTGCAATTATCATAAATGGATAGGAAGCATTGGAAAATTAATAGGTCATTGACTGTTATATTCGTAGATGTACACCAAGCACCATGCAATTCCCAACAGGCCCCCAAACAGCAGGTTCAGGTAGAACACAGCAAACCCCAAAGCATTACTTTGGCTCACTTTTAAAGTGCTCTTTCAAAGCCTCCCTTAGCTGAATAGCTCTGTGTTCAGCTCTTCTAATAGCCCTTGTGTCTGGCTGTTCTAACTCAGCCGACAGCTGTTCCACCTCCACCCCAGTGGCAACTTTTCCCCCTTTGCTTCATGGATATTATACAGGACACAGAAGGCAGCTATAATTATTGGGATGTTTTTTTCTCTGAGATCCAATCTTGTAAATAATCAATACCAACATCCCTTCAATCTACCAAAAGCATATTCAACTGTGATTCTATACCTGCTAAACAGGTAGTTGAATTTTCTTTCGTACTGTTGAGAAGGCTGGTATATGGCTTCATGAGCCAGGGATCAAGGGGCAGGCTGGGTCCCCCTGGATCACTATTGGTATTTCAACATTGCCAAAGGTAATCCACTGGTCAGGAAAGTAAGTCCCTGCTTGTAGCTTTCTGAACAGTTCTGTGTTCTTGAAGATGTGAACATCAAGCACCTTTCCTGACCAGCCAACATTGATGTCAGTGAAGCATCCCCAGTGATCCACCAGCGCTTGCATAACCATAGAAAAGTAGCCCTTTCTGTTGATGTACTCTGTGGCAAGGTGGTCTAGTACCAAAATAGGGATATGCTGTGGCATCTATTACTCCACTGCAGTTTGGAAATCCTATTGCCACAAATCTATTCACTGTGTCCTGCGTGTTGCTGAGAGTCACAGTCCTGTGTAGCAGAAAACTTGTATGACAAAAGCCTCACAGTGGATTTCCCAACTCCAAAATGATTTCCTGCTGACTGGTAGCAATCTGGTCTTGCAAGTTTCCACAGTATGATCGTCACTTGCTTCTCCACTCCCAGTGCAGCTCTCATTTTGGTGTCCCTGTGCTGGAGGTTTGGGGAAAGCTTGGCACACAGAGCCAGGAATGTGGCCTTGCACATCCAAAAGTTTGATAGCCACTGCTCGTCATCCCAAACTGGCATTACAATGCGATCCCACCCATCAGTGTTTGTTTCTCAGGCCTAGAAACGGCACTCCACCATCTGTAGCTTTTACATGAATGACACCAATGACCTTAAATTGGTTCTTGCTATGTCCCACAGCAATCTGTCCTCCAAGAAATTATGTTCCCTGATGATTCGGTTCTTCTTTAGGCTCTGCAAATACTGGAGGATTGTGCATCCTGTGCTTGCAACGCTTATGACAATAGTGCAGAGCTGTGCAGGCTCCATTCTTCTGTCAGAGATAGCAGACCATGGTAGGTTCATGGTATTTTTTAAAAATGTGCAAAACTTATGGGACATACATGACATTGTGGGATGGAGACAGTTGCACAGTGGGAAGTTGACCCCTTGCTCCCAGTCACTGTGAGGCAAACCTGCAGTCAACCCAGGGCTGCTTGCTCAGCTCCCCAGAGACTCAATAGGTGCCCCTCCAACAGACAGGGATATTAGTTGGTGGCTCCTTCATGGAGCTGTGAGTGCGGGCGCATACCTGGCATGATTCACAACCGCCCCGACACCTGCTCCTTCTGTGGCGAGAGGGTGACCCTGGCACACATTTACATTGAGTGCACCAGGTTGCAGCCCCTCTTATGCAGTCCTGGAGCTCCTTTAGAACCTCTTCCTTAAGTTCTGGTTGCACTTTTTCCTGCACTTCCTTATTTATGCACACCCAATCCGTGGCGCCACTGTAAAAGTCCTCTCTTCTATCATGTTTCTGAGCAGCGTTCCTCTGGGCAGTGTCCACTGGCTCCCCGGATGCCATTGAGGAGCAATGGGCTCTGTCCAGCGTTCTCTGCTCAGGGTCCCCTCTGGATCCTTGATTTTGAAACTGTGACCTTCACTCCCATCCCTGTTTTTTCATTAGTTGTCCCCCATGATTAATTGGTGCCTGGGTCTGGTGGCTCCTCTCCTTAGGCTTAGGGAGGGGCCTTTAGATGTGGGTAGGCCCATACCCAGTGCCTCAGTAGCTGCCCTGACTTACCCTGCCAACAGAACCTGCAGTGACTCAGCCTTCAGGCACATGTCAGCTATCCCTGAGCTGAGCCTGGTTAGATGACCCTCAGGCTCAGGTATTTCCCCAACCCTGCCAGAGCTGCAGATCTGTGTGTGCAACAGCACTACCTGGCCAGGGAGGGACTCTCCTGCTGCCACACAGTGTAACAGACTCTCTAGACTGCTCTGGAACCTGTTCCTGCTCCTGCCCAGCCTTGCCTGAGCCCTGTCCAGTCTTGTTCTTGTCCTACTTTGACCTTGCTCCAGCCCTGTTACAAACTCACTCCAGCTTTGCCTCTGCCTCCTGACCCTCCTGGACTCCGAATATCTGTCTTCGATCCCTTGCTTGTACCTGGACTCCAGCTGTTGTACTGATTTTGGCTTGTCTACAGACTCTGATCTCAGTTCTGATCCTTGCCTATCCCTGGATCTCAATTCTAGTGCTACCCTCAGTCCAGTCCTGACCCTATGTCTGGGTTTTGACCTCCACTCCAATCACGAGGCCTGACTATCAGGAGGCAGCGCATAATTAAGCCTTGTGTTGGAGGCTGCGCAGGGGTACCCAGAGCATAGTAAGCCAGGGAAGGGCCACGGGATCTGTGCTTAAGGGGGGCCAGTCCCTTCAGAGCAATGATGGATGGGGCAGTATCTGTTATTTTAACGCTTGTATTAGAGTAGTATCTGCATTATGTGACCCCATGGCCGGCTCACAGGTAGAGATGTGTATCTAGGAATGTCATCTTTCCTAGCCCCTCATTTGGTACTCTGCACAAGGCCTGATTACTTAAGTTTTATGCAGTTAAGGTGGATTTCATCCCGAGTGATTAGAGAGATTATTTTGCCTGTCAGCTTCCTTCACAGATCTGTTAAAAATCAACACTTCAGAAGCTGAGCTCAAGCAGCGATCACATCTGATTTATTCATTTTCACAGCAGACTACAGCTATACCCTATTATTTTCTTCTTAGGCATAATTTGCTACTAGACTCAAGCCGTAAGGCAAAAGGCAAGTTCTCTGGTTTAGTTGTAAGCATTTGTTTCAAAAATATACCACTGTGTGTGTGTATGATGGCATAGGGTGGTGTAAAGGTTTTATCAGTATGAGTTGGAACATGAAAATGTTTAAAAATGCTTTTTAAATGCTTTTAAAAAAATAGGTGCTTTTTTGTATCTTTTTTGGTCTTTATTCCAAGCTAAGTGGAAGGTGGTGAGGAAGATACAGGTAGGAGCCTTTTCTGTTCCCTTCCTCCACAGAAGGCAACAACTAAATAGAGTAGAGGGAGATGGCAGCAGTTGGGATCTACTTCCTGGTCTATAAAGATTTTGGGAACTAATGAGTGGATTACATTTCTCTCCCTTGGCTGTGTTTCCATAGCTGGAATTTGTTGAGGAACCCTGAGAGGCAATGAAATGGTCAATGGACTTGAACTTGGGAACAATGGAAGTAATTTCAGCAGATATGGATTAGTGTGTTAAGGACAGATGAAGCAGTCAAAGGTGAATGATAAATATGTTTATCACAGGACTCCATAATGTATCCTATCGACATCATCTCCACACTTATATTGTATGCATAACACACAAGAAATAAGAAATGTTAAAAGCATATCTATGACATCAAAGGTTTACATTAGTCTTCAACAAAAGCAATTCAACCCGAACATTTCAGATTTATTTTGTGTAAGAATAGCCCCTGAAGCTTCAAAGGAAATGATTTGTGTATTTAACAACCAGGTACCATACACATAACTCTTTTTATTATAATTATTCTTTGATATTACATCATAGAGATAGATAGATAGATGTATTTAAAATAAATAGTCTTCCGAATATACAGGTTCTTTAATCATAAAAAGGGGAAAGCTACTGTCTAAAATTTATTCCCAGGAGTCACCAATAAATCCTGACCATGTACCAACTTCATTGGTTTGCGTAGTTTTGTTAAACCCTCCACTGAATTTCTGCATTTTAGGTGCTCAGATGCACTTGTTCTCCTTTGGTTTTCCTTATTGTTGCTGTTATTATTTTATCATCATAGTGTTGAGGAGCCCCACTCATTGTGCCAAGAGTTGTGCAAACACAGAACAAACAAAAAGACTGTCCCTTCCCCCAAAAGCTTGCAGCCTGAGTATAAGACAAGAAGTAACAGATGGTTACAGACCTAGGTGCAAAGAAGCAATGAGACAGAATTGGTCAGCATGACCGGCAGTGATCTCTGCACTCCAGCAGCCAAGGGCCACTAGTCTGGATCATTTTCAAAATCAGCCTCTGGTTAAATGCCAACTCTTGGGCACATAATCACTTGTGCTGGCAAAAAAGGAGCTTGTGCATAAAATGGGGTAATTGGACGTTTAGCTACTTGTGCACACAGATACTCTGTGGACTTGATCCTGCACAGCATACATGTAGATTCCTCCGAGAGTGCAGTTGTTAGGCCTAAAAGGGTAAGTACTTCATTAGCATGATAGTAATCACACAAATGCACATCTTCCCAGGCACATACATTATCTATCCATACCTATTCCTTTTTTATCTTGTGCGCTTGTGAGTAAAGGAGCAGTTGCAGAGGAAGCTTGAGAGTTGTTGCCATGAATTGCAGAAGACCGAACCTAGCATTCTGCCTTCACACAGCCTCCACTCAGACTTGCTCACCATGATTGACACTGCATCCCTCATTCTGGGTATGTGTTCAGTGCTGACCCAATGCTTAGCACTCTACAGAACTTTGTATGTATACAATTAAAATATAATATGGACAAACAATCTTCAGAAATGCAATACAGCCTATTTTATAAAAACAGAATGCTACAGAATATTCTGGGGTGGTCAAAGGCATTTGGCCTCATGCCACACACCAAAATACAGTTGAGACATATAAGGTATGTCTATGCTGGAACTGGAGGTATAATTTCTGGTTTGGATAGACATACCCATGCTAGCTCTGATCAAGCTAGTGCACTAAAAATAGAGTTTCACTGCAGCAAGATGAGCAGCGGGATGGGCTAGCCTCCTTGAATACTTGCCTAGGGTTTCAGATGGGCTCATACTCGGAGTGACTAGCCTGTCTTGCCACAGGGCTACACTTCTATTTTGAATGCGCTAGCTCAATCAGACCTAATACGAATATGTCTGCTCGAGCTGGAAATTACACCTCCAGCTCCAGTGTAGACATACCCATGGACATGAGTGTCCTGTAAACAGTGTAGCCTGTTGTATGTTATTGCTTTAGCAAGCTTAGGCCCTGTCTAAACTGGTGATATTATGTAGTGGCGTAGTACAAGCAGTGTGCTGTCCCTAGTGTGGGTACTCTCTAGTGTGGGTGTTCTGAAGGTTAATGAGTAGTCATGAATCTTTATAAATACCACACAAGAGGCCTCCAAAACATACCATTTTTTATGGCTTCATGTTTCTTTGTATCTTAATATACTTAGATTTCCCTAGGCTTTTCCTGCTATAAAATCCCACCTCACCAGTTGGATTCTCGTAGCCTGAATCAGCATCTCAAAATTTGAAAGCTGCTTTGCAGGGAGCTAAGGCTGTCCATTTGTCCAGACCTAGTATGATGCAGGCAATCACAATATGCTCTACAGTACCCCCTCTAAAAACTTTGACTCTGCCCTAGAAAGACAGCCTCTTTTTAATGGTGTGAAGTTGTTCAGCCTCAAAGGGAGCCTCCTACCTAGCTTCTCGATAGTGGAAGATGACTTACTTGTGTGTGTGTTGAGATATAAGCTCCTTTCGAGTGAGGATAAGGAATCCCATTTCAGTTAGCTCTGTGCTTGGAGTGTTTCAAAAGTATATTAGGCATGCCTCTGCTCAATGAGCAATGTGTATTTTAATGTGACAAATCTCTCTGTAAAAATGAATTGATGCAGCATGTAGGAAAAGCTGCGCAGGACCATTATAGGAAAACGTTAGTGCGAACATGCAAAATAAGATTTTAAAAAAACCTAAATAAATAACTTTACTTCCAAGTAGCATTTACAAGTTTCAAAGGATGTTTTGCATTTTGTTTCAGAGCTCCTTCCTACATGATTGATGTTGTGTCCCATATTTTGTTACTTTTCGGCATGTTAATTCTTACTATTTTATCACTGGGTGACTAAGGATTGATAACACACAAAAGAGAAATAAATACACAAGAGCAAAGCAAGAGCAAACAGGAAAAGCAATGAGCGATCTGAGAACTCTGTCTACTTCCCTTTTTAGGGTTTTATTGATTATCTCCCTCTCCTGAGTCTAAAAAGGGACAATCAGCTTTCGTTTTGTTTTCGATGGAGTAAATATACCAGCAGTCATGCAGCTTCACCAACCTTCTCTGTGACCTGTTGGAGAGTGTGTGTGTGTGGGGGGGATGATGTCAATAGGAATCAAAGCAACCTGCCTCAAACTGCAGAATCTAGCCGTGGTACCTATACACTTTTATATTCTGCGTGTCACCATTCTTCCTCAAAGCCATGAAAACAACAATCTGTCTGATCTAAGTGCTTGTCTACACTTACCAGATTTTCCATACCACTGACTGATGTAGTTATATCAACATAAGTGCATAATATAGACCAGAACTAACATGCCTATGATTAGGTCTGAGGGTGATACTGAGGAGTCCTTATCAAAGGTGTGGGTCTTGTGTTTGGATGTGAACAGTGGGGGGTTGGGCTCTACTCTGGTAGAAGTCCCACTGCTGAGAATCGGATCCTTGGCCAGTTGAGGTGTAGCTTTGCTCCACAGTGATGCTAGCTTGATAGGTCGTGGGTGGGTATGCAGATTTATTTAAGGCATCAGCCCTGGAGAAAAAGCTAAAATTGACTCCGAGAGTGAACTATGCTTAGTGCAGAAAGTTTCATAGCCTGTGGTTACTTAGGTTAACCTTCACTCCAATTGGTGTGTGTGTGTGTGTGTACACATTAGAAAAAGATTCTTCTACTGACCATAATGCTCAAAAGTACAACCTTAGTTCGCAGCATGACTTTTAATTAAGTTACCAAGAACCATTTAAATGTCTCTCTGCATTTTTCAGTGTCAAGTGTCAAGTGCAACTTAAATGTGGAAACTGATTCTGCCTTTGCATTAGATTTGCGTTATAGGCAAATATAACAGCTCATTCACTATTGGCAGGAATTGATTTAGGAAGGATGCATAGAAGCTCAATGTCTAATTTCATTCTGAATGCTCCCACACCACCACTATACCAGTGCAACCAGTGAAACAGATGACAAATGGATGTTTGGTGGCGAAAGTAACATTCTGACTAGAAGAAACAAAATCCACAGGGGGTATTTAGCATAGTGTCACTGTAGGGTATTGCACTATCTTTTCACCGCTGGAAACTAGTACCATTTGGTTTCGGCTACAGGCTAGCATATTGTTCAGCATAATAGGATGTTTCAGTACTAGATATCAAGTACTAGTCACAGGTCCTGCTGCATACTCCACTCTGTATTAGCATGGTTCTTCAGTAGCTTGCACGGCATCTGTCTGCGTCTGCACTATACCTGACTCCAGGTAATGTTGTATCAGTCCATCACTTTCTTCTTCCATAAATATTGACCTGCAGTACTGTATTGTGCTAAGGAGAAAAGCTATTATCATAAAGAGACAATTTGGCTCCACTGGCATTTCTTGATTTATTTGTTAGTCTCTAAGGTGCCACAAGTCCTCCTTTTTCTTTTTGCGTTTACAGACTAACACGGCTGCTACTCTGAAACAATTTGTTTTCAGTTACTACAGAAAATAAATAGGGTCTTGGACCCCACAATCTCTAAGCCCTCTGCCACCAATGCATACTTTAAGAGGAGACATTTGGAAATTAAAAGAGACTTGTCTGTCTGCTGCATTGTGACAAACACCTTTATAATATAACTTGGAAGGCTAACATTTACATGTAACCCAGATAATAACCATTGTGTTGCTGGGCAAGGGTCTGTCGTGCAGCTAGACAGAAACTCAGTATAAATCCCAAG